GGCGAGTCCCTAAAGTATTTTCGTTAAGTAGGCTTCCAGACTTTCTTATATCACTACAGTCACTATAGTATTATCCCAAAAATGAAAATTAACTACTCAATTCATTATATATTCTGTCCTAAAGTAGTATTTTGCGGATCAGTCTCAAATTGTGTTTAAGCGTTTCAATCACCCCATGTTGCATGAGGTGATGGATGACCAATAGTTGAATTTTCTCACATTCCTATGAGTAGACCACAAGTGTCCAGTTAATTGTCTTACCAAAAAGTATTCAATCTCATCAGATCCTATCACCTTTGAGGAAAATACCTTTTGGGAAGCGAAATTAAGTGAACTGTAATGCAGACGTTAGGCCTACTCATAGGATTGTGGGAAAGTTCAAATATCCGGCCTTCATTACCTTATCCGAACAAGTCTGAATACTGCTCTTATTCTGTTAGTCTCGAAAACCCATTTCCTCTTATTTAAGAATGCCGTTAAGTTTTAGAGATGTCTGTCATGTGATGGGAGACAAGTGTTACTAAACCCACAACCAAGGCCGAGAGGACCAAAAGACAAGGAAAATAAGCCATCCACTTCGAGTTCACTTAACCTGCGAGTCTCCTTGTCAACCTCTTTCACTAAGAATAACTTTATCTCTCTAAATGAGATGTCATGAGCGTAAAGAAAGCCGAGCTAAACAAGCCCTATTGCTTTGAGGAACCTGTGATTTCCGCTTCCCTTGTCCGTTTTCCACCGGCTCCTGTATGAATCCACAAGTTTTGTGCCACTACTCTGCCGATACTCACGACTAGAACAGTTAAAATAAAGCTTGTTTGTTGGGGGCAAAGACTAACTCACAAAGACGCACATATACACGCAAATGGCTAAAGTGTAGTATTTGACCATATATGGCCACAGATCATACTGGAATGGGTTGATAGGAAAAAAAATTTAATGATATTTAGTTTTCAATGTCTTACAGTCTTTTTCAGTTTCATCGAGCTTTGATGGGCTCAGCTTGTCTAGACGCAGCCCACTTCCTGAAGACTGTCGTTCAGGCTCCTGCTCGTCTGGGTCAAGTCCTAGGCCTGTGCTACTGCTCCTACTGCAACTGCTACTTGCACTGACAACACTGTTGTTGTCAGCCGGGTCGTGCCTTTGACGCAAATGTTGATGCTTGTGTTGGTAGCACTGATCCTGATGCCGATACCCCTGTTGCCTGGATGGAAGCATCCCCAGCTCGTGAAAGTGGTCGAATCCTCCTGTTGGAACCGGTGAGACGTGTAGTCCCGACGAGTGGAAGGGTTGACTGAGGCAGTGAAGCGACCTGACAACGTCATGTTCGTACAGTTTAGAGGCTGTAACAAGGTCGGTGCCATGGTAGCAGTCATTGCCCTGAGAATGTCTGGTTGGGCTGATTCTGTTGCCTAGACCCTCGTGAGGTTCCGGACTGGAGGGCATTTTGACGGTGGCAGTGGCTATTCCACCGGCTGAACCGGCAGACGAGGCAATCATGAGGCTGCCAGCGCTGCCACTACTACTTCTGGAAGTGGTGGTTGCCTGACTCGGCAGCATTGGTATTGGTGTTGGGGTAGACGTCGGTGTGGAGGTGGTGTTTGCCTGCAGTTGGGCAGCAGCACCAGACGTGCAAGGGGAAAAAGAAGAGAGTGGCGGGGATGGTGAAGAGAAGGTCTGTGTGTTTCCTGAACCGACGGAAAAGTTGGACGCGTTGTTGGGTGTTATGTTGACGATCGCACTGGTCACGAGAGTTGATGCCGTACCAGACATTGTGGAATGGGCCGTGCGAGTCGCTTCGACGAGTGCGCCAGTCGTAATGCCATTTAGCTCTGACAGACTTGGAGTCAAGGGGGCTCGATAAAAAGACGCATATTGCTCGTCCATTAGCACCGAGATGCCTCTTCTTTTTCTGCCACCCATCTCATCAGCCCCAACATCCTCAGCCTCATCCTCTTCATCTCCATCGTCCTCATCCATGTTCACTTCATCCCCGTCTTCATGATCTTCCACACCCTCTTCTTCATCTTCTTCTTCCTCTTCCTCTTCGTCGTCCTCGTCTTCTTCATCTCCGTCCTCCCCCTCCTCTTCTTCCTCCTCCCCCTCTTCTTCACCAGCTGTCAAATTTGCATCATCTCTGATCTCAAAGACCAGACTCGACGACTCACTCGAGGTACGTTTGCCCTCGGAGAGGCCCAGTCCGGCTGGAAAGCGATGGGCTACCGGCGGCAAGGAGGACATGTTGTAGACGGGCGTGGAAGCCGAGGTTGGCGTTAGTTGAAACCGGCTGGCTGGGGCCTGACTGGTAAAAAGACCTGGCAGACGTCCGACGGAGGTTGGCATGGCTGAGTGTAGCACGATGGGGTGTGCCGCAGGTGGAAGGTCGTCATGACGGGTCGAGCCTTCAAACAACATGTAGTCGGCGGGGTGGAGGCGCGGCTTGTCGGGGGCCAAAATATGTCTGTTTGTGGGGCTCAATTTAATGGGCTGGTCGAGCAAATGGTGACCTGCCGAAGTGGTACCAACAGTCGAGTTGCCCACCAATACGTGGTTGATGGGGCCGTTGATGTCAGTGTGGGTGTCGACGTGCGTGGTCTGGCCAGTCGAGGCTGTAGAGGCTACACCGCTGGGAGGTGGATACTGCGATGCCTGTGTGAAGGCTGCAGCTGTAGCCGAGTTGGCCAGAGCCGAAGTGTTGGGAGAGGAAGATGAGATGAGTAACTCCTGCATGGGATCCGGTAGAGCCTGATTTCGTCGACGACCACGACCGGCTAAGGCTATAGAGAAGGCGAACTCGTTGTCCATCCTCTCCAGACCCAAGTAGCTAGCCATCACGCCGCGAGTATGCAGCCCTTAGCGTGGACGAGACAGGCTGCTGGTTAATAAAGAGAGAAAAGTTCGACGAAATGGTACAAACAAATTATCCAATTAACTCGAGAGCACACAGTCAGAGTCCTACAACCAGGTCGGTCAGCGCAGAAAAGTATACTTTTAAAACCTTAAAAAGGTCTTTTAAAGAGTTAGTACCAATATAATGCGTGAACACGATAAAAAAAAGTATATTCTGATTGTGTAGATTCCGAAATTACCAATAGACAATTAAGAAAAGTATAAGGTGATGAAGAATTGATATGAGTAGGCTTATGTGTACATTGAATTTCGCATAGTCTTGTTTCCCAAAAAGTGTTCACAACCAGGCTGAAATCTCATCCTTACCCCCAGTGAGAATCCAATGGGCAGTGTGACGTATAATCTCGACATGCTATCACGGCTGTGCTAATAAACTCCTTGTAGTATTTCCTTGAATCTCCATACTCCTATCATGTGTGGGCATGTTAAAGCTCATTTTCAGGGTTTTTCGTATGTTCGACATGTGCCTGCGTGCGTACAGCCGCGTGTCTTCACATGTGTATCCTATGGAGCAAACAAGTGTCCGATTCAGTTCATGAGCTCATCTCCATTTCGAGTAAAGGTGCAATGAAAAGCATAAAAAATCGATCATCACAGCCCTCAAAGTTCTTCATCACTAACTTTTGCTCTCCCAACGGTAGGATATCTGCCGCACAGAAGTCGAAAGTCGAGCATACAACGGTAGGTTTCGGCCATGCCAGGCATGCACAAATAAAGGCCTTCAGTTGTACGCATGCAGGCACATAAAGCATGCATGATGAAGATTTAGGCAACTTCTATAACGAGTTTCTAAGCGTTTTTAAAGTTTGTTTCATGTAATAACGGTGGATTGGAATAAATGCATCACTTTTCCTCGTGTATGAAGAAAAGATGGGTTCCTTTTGGAGTAACTTTCATTTCGTGAATCCAGTGCACAAAAATCTACAATCACAACTCCAAGTCAGTCCTCAAGCTACGAATGCCTTGTATTCGCCTCCTTAAACGAAATAAATGATAAGCTTGCTGCAATGGGAGGATACCCTCCAATTATAGCAATTACGGCGATCTCGGGGTCATTGATGAAATAGGATTCAACACGAAGCATCCAATTAAAGTAAATTTTTAGCGACATTAATAGCGATAATAGGTACAGCAATACGGGAAAGCCAAGTTCGTGCAAACAACTTACTCAGTGGCCAGTCGTTCGTAGTCCTGAAACTGCGCGTTTGTAAGCTCTCGAGTTGACTGGAGATAATTAGTACGAGGTATCGTCTGCTATCGGCGAGGAGTACACAACAGTGGCTGGTCGTCTTTTCTTTCTCCTCTCATTTAGGCAACTTGAAAAGTCGGCCAATCCCAACTCCCCTCGTCTTGCCACAAACCGATTGCGCTAATTTAGCTTTTGGCCCCAGAACCACTCACAAGGGACTGTCAACTGGTCTGCTCACTCTTTCCTCTACTCACTCCCTCTACTCCACTGATAAATATTTGGACACAACTTCACTTGCAAGGCATAAACACATACACAAAACACTACAAGGTTGACGAGCACACACGTACAGACGGCCACATGCGTTCCACCTATCTGGTTGGAGGTCTTTTCACTTTCTCTTCTTGTCCTCCTCACCAGCTCGACAAGTAACTTTGTCTTTTGACTTATCACTCTCAAATAATGAGTCTTATCTCGGACGGGCTGGTCCAATCTTCTTTCACACCTGCTCCCTACAGTCAGGCAAGACGCCTAGGCCAATAGCAGTCCGATGCCCATTTCTCCCCCTCTACACTCACACATTCTCACACATGAACACAACACTTCATGGCGGCCCATGCCCGTCCGATCCGTCAACTGATACAGTGGCAGGCAATACGTAATATTAGGGGCATGAAACGCCAGTCTATCTTCTCCACAGAGTTGGTGATAAGCCCACGTGGTTAACGTGTGTTCATAGACCATCCCGAGCACACGCCGATTTGCCCCACATTGGTCAATTCATTGCGAGCTGTGCTTATGTGTGTAATCGTGATCTAGTTGGCGTGGATGTAAATGAGGTCGTTCGGCGTGGTTGTGGCAATAGAAGTGGATCGTTGATGTCGTAAAAAGACGTTGAAGACGCAATGGCAACGCCGAAACTGTTAAAAAAAGGGCCGTTATCTTGAGGACTTCTCTAAAAGAATCCATGATTTAAACAAAGATAAATAAGAAGAAAATTCTAGTTTCGAAGAGTATCCCGAGATAAGATTCATGTTAAGACTTTCATTTCGTATAGTGGTACATGATGAAGAGATTCGTCTTATGGTGAGATTAACATACTAAACTCTTTACCTTGTACTTCCATTCGAAATGAAAGTCTTCACATTAGTTATAAATAAGTACATTAAACTAGTAATCTCAAAGCAGATAGTCATCACGGGGATCCAACCAAACGCCCAGTGATACTGTCTACTTTCAGCAGGGAAGAAGAATTTCTCGACACACGCGACGTTGACTGTCCATTCGGTGACGTGACAGTCACTGATTCAAAATAGGTGTCTCAGTCTGATGAGATACCAGCATCAAAACGTCTGCTGAAACCTTGTGCTGGGCAAAAGTTGAGATATATCGAACTAGCCCACTTGAAGTTTGGTGGGTTCAGGCCTACAGGGAACACGTGGGAAAGCTATGGAAGAAGGGGATTGTCGATATCAAACCATATTCGTCTCATTCAGCCAGCTCCTCCGCTCGAGGCCCATCTGCACTAAACTTTGGATACATACAAAATTGGTGAAGAGCAAATTATCCTATTTCGAGAGGTCTGTATGCAAGTTAATAAAATCGGATCCAGAATGTATGGATGGTCAGTCGGCTTGACCCTGTCTCATGAGAGCAACAATAAATATGATTCATAAAGTAGGATTTTCGAAGTGATTCTGGACAAAGTAGGTCTCCCACTTTCGATAAAACGAGTTGATCGCCTACTCTTATTGACATTTTATTGTTCTCCGGTTGTCTGCATGGGCGAAAAAGGCTTCAATCTGTCCACTGCAACCTCAGCTTCTGGGAGAGAGTGGCACTGATTTCTATACGAACGTAGGGAAGGCTACAAATTAATTTCGCCCAAAGCTCTCCTGAAGGAGTCAGTGACTAGGCCCGTCAGGACTGGTGTTGGAGGATAGTTTGGCTGAGCTTTGAGTAAATGGAATAGACCTTGAGAGCTTCATCGGCGGATAAGTAGTTAGGATCCAGACCAACTGGTGTACAATATTTTATTGAGGCTATTGTACGTTGATAAGTCTTGAATATTTTCGGTTGTATAGTACAATTATATACTACTTAATTTTCAGACCGGCTTGACCTAGACTTCACAATGAGAAGATCATATTCCAGAACAAATGACCATTTCATTCCGCTGCTTGGCTACTGTATGGGCACTAAAATGGACCATAAGAACCCTGCAGAACGCTTGCTTAAGTGTTTGCTGGAAGCGGCTGTTTTTTCCTCCTGTAAAGCAAATTGTCCCTTTTGTTTACAGGCTGTCCTTAATTTTATTGTCTATTTAGGCAATCTCTTGGAACCGTATATCAATCAATGGAGCCTGTTTCACACCTTTTTTTAGCCTTCTCCTTCTGGCTGAATCTCTTAGTAAATGCACAAAGAGTAACATACAAGAGAACTTGTCGATGAGTTGAGCGCTTATGATGGGTGAAATGACACGAAAACTATCATCTCCTTCTCCCAATGAAAAGATGGTTGACAAAAACACACGAACTTTTAATACTTGTTGATCAAACGAGTCGGTCAAAACCGATCACAAAGGTTAACAAAGCTTGTCACCGCCGCACACTCTTGTGCAGAGTTTCTTTTGTCGCACTTTGCTGAATGGTAACTATGCCGATAATATGGGTTTTCAGACCATCCAAATAAATTTATACAATTTTGTGCATTTAACTTCGGCTGAAAAACATGTATAAATTGATCTCAACGAAATCGAAAGAGGCTCGTTATAATTTGAGGCTGTGACAGTGGGTTGGGGCGAAACTGTCCTCAGCTCACCTCTGCCCCGATGCTTAGAGGTATGGTGCTCGGGGAATTTCGTCATACAAGTTAAAAATTATAAAAATACTCCTTCAGCTACCGATACGATCCAGTTACGAATCCCTATCACTTGCAGTTTTAAACGAATTTAAGGGTACTCAGACATACAAGGATTGTAGTTGGCGACTAGTTTATGTAAGCGCTGGGTCAATGTACACTCCAGTCGTTCAGACAGCATCGTGTTGCCGAGTCTGAAAATTTTGGAAGCCAGCAGACGGAGGTAATTTGTCGTGTAAAGTGGCCTTTGAACTTGAAAGGGATATTCACTATTTGTCTCCTGAAGGCTTGCAATAGGCCATATAGTATAATTAATGTGGGTTAAATGCAAGAATTGAGCATTCGCTATTTCTGGGCTTAGGAAAACCACAACTTGAGACCACGCGAGTGCATAATCGGGTCGGAGATTGACTAATCTCAGACTGCCCCGCTTGTCAACCCAGCTTCCTCTCTGGCTAATTTTAGTTAAGATGGACTCCGTTTTCTTTGTCTGTGCAAAGAAGGAACTGTTTGTATATTAGTATGACTCCTGCCCAACCCATTCTTGGTTCTATATTGTTTTTTTCGCCGAACCACCCTCAAGGAACAACCTTGAACCCTTGAACTCCATTTACTGGTATGGAATAACTTCTTAGCATTGGCTAAGAAAATTTTGTTTCAAGCAATCTCAGGGTTTATTAAGGTTTATATATTTTTATATTTTTATATTTTTTAGCTCATTTTTACCTCGAGTGAAGGTGCATGATAAAGAGCATCAAAGGTAGATCCACCCAGATAAGACGGTGAATTCCTCTTTGCTAACTGTACTGGGAAATTATTGCAGGCGCTGTTCACGAGGCAATCTACTTCGCATTCGGTGAAAATGTGCCGGACC